GAAAGTTTCTTTGTCTTGTGACATTTGTCTATAGTTTTGCAAGATGTCACCATTGTGGGAAAGTGGGTGAAGATATATGGGCTCGCTCTGTATTATTCTTATAACTGCTTGTGAATCTACAATAAGCTCAAAATAAAATGCTTAATTTAAAATACAATTTGATAGGTTAAAAAGACTGCAGATTATTGCATACTAAGAATATATTACAATTTATTCAGCCAATTTTTACTGTCTTATGTTTAGGTTATTACAAATTTCTTATTTTGGAAAGAATTGGTATGAATACTTTTGTAATTAAATTTTGGCACATATCCTTACTCATTTTCTTATACTGTATCTCTAGAAATGGAATTGCTGTTCAAGGGTTATATATTTTTCTCACACTTTCAGGATTCCTTCACATCCAAAATATAGGAAGATTCAATATTTAGAGGCATTGAAGTTATGTGAGCATTTAAGATGTGAACAGAAAGAACATTTTAAAAAGATGCCAGTCCCCTCTGTACTTATTTTGAGCAATTAAGACATAGGAGATTGATAATGCAGTAAGTACAATAAGCACATTTTAATGACTTTTGATAACACATTTCAAAATTTTTTCATTTGAAAAATGTGGATACTATAATCTACCTTCTAGCAATGTTGTGAGAATTCAACACACAGAAAGTACTTGGAAGAGTACTGGCTGATGCAGACACCAGCCCGCAGTGTCCTCAGTGTTATGGATGAGATGAGACATTCACATGAACTACCAAATCCTGTGGAGGAAAAGGGATGGCACGGCTACTCTCTCAAGGGGAGAGCGCCCCTACCCTTGCCTTGACAGGCTTCTATTGGCTTTCAATTTGCAGAGGAATACAGGTAAAGCTCATTAATCATTGTCAGGCAGTAAGGATCAAACAATAGATAGCATACAAAGAACTATGAGGGCTTATTCTGAGTCAGGGTCTGTTAGCTAAAGGGCTACAACACTTTGGGAAACAAACTCTTTTCCTGCTCAGACCCTTATCATTTAATTGAGAGCATTCTTAGCAAAGCAGGTTTCACAGGATTTTATATATTCTTTCTTAGCCTGATCACCTGGGGAACCCACCCTTTCCAGCACAGGGCTGCAGCACCCTCTGTCATTGTTTCAGGCCGAAGTCAGGCAGGGGAAGTAAGGCAGCCAAGAAATTAGGAGATTTCTCGCAGACAGAAAGAGGATTCAGGCTATGTCAAAGCCAAGGGGTGAGGGTCCATCACCCCCTTTTGCTATAGCTCCCCAAGTCTTTCCCTGGGGGATCCCCATGATCATGCCTGTCTTAGATTGTTCCTCCCTTGAGGAATCTTACCTGTCAGTGGCTGACTGATCAAGCATTGGGGGCCAGGCAGGGTGAAGTAAAAGGAGCAGAAGCAGTGCTCCTGCCAGAGGGATAAACTTTGTCTCCTTAGTGGCTTATGGTCGGAAGGTTGCTCACTCAGCCTTAGCTATGGGGGATTTCAACTTCTGAAACCAAGCAGGGTGGTTCCCAACAACTGGCCACATAAAAAGTCTTGACAAACGTTAGTTGCCCTTGTGATTATGGTTCTGACTGGGTCCAGAAATGACACAGTGATTTCTACCAGCCTGTAAGGGGAAGACCATTGCCTTGCATCCTTGCCAACACCAGTCATTATCAACTATTTCCATCTTTGCCATGTTTCAATATTATTTAATTTGCATTTCTTAGATTATTAATGGGTGGAAACATATTTTTCATATATTTATTGACCATTTATAGATATTCTTTTGTGTCTTGTCTGTTTATATTCCTTGCCCATTTTTCAATTAGGATATCTGTTGCTTTGAAGGAATTTTTACATGGTAATGTCAGTAACTCTCTCATATGTAGTGAAAATATTATTATCTTGTTTGGCTTTTAACTCTTTAAATTATGTTTCTTGATACAAAAAGTTTTAAAAGCTTTAGAAAGTCATGTTCACCAAAATTTCTTTATGGATTTGCTATTGATGATATGTCTGTAAAAACCTTCCTGATAAAAAAATTGTACTATCCCTTTATTTTTCATATTTTATGTTCTTTAATTTTTATTGAATCCTAGGTATAAAAAAGTGCTTGATCAAGATACTCTTTTCATTGATTCAAGCTTGGTCCTCTTATATGCATTCATTCCTTTGATTTTAAGAATGTAATGAGTATTCCATAACCAGGATCTTGAAATAATTTATATTCTTCTATGTGATCTGCCCTCACCCTATCTCCTTCCTCTTCTTGAGAAAACCATTCAGAAGTCAGTATTTATCATTTTTATTTGTATAATTTCATCTTATCCACATGCCTTCTGAAGTATACATTGTATTTAAATTGTTTTTACTCATAAAAAGAGTATCATGCTGCAGGTAATCTTCTGACACTATTTTCCCCCCATTTAATATTATGTTGTTGCTCAGCCTAGTCATTATACCTGTGTCTAATTGACTTTATTTTGACTGCTCTATAGACTTCATTGTGTCCATATACCTCTGAACTTTTCTGTATGCTCTCATTTATGGACATTTAGGTCGCTATTATGCTAAGCACTGGTCTAAATACACATACACATATTTTTCATACATACAGGTGAAAAGGTTTCTGTTCAGTGTACATCAGGAGTAAAATTGCTGGTTATCAATCTTTTCCTTCCAGAAGCATTGTTTAAGAGGTCCTGTGGGGCCATATCCTTCCCAATGCTTGGTGTTGCTAGAATTTTATTTATTTATTTTAGCCAATTAAATAGTGTTATAGTATATGTAAAATAGTACCATTATGGGAATTGGACAGAAAATGATATTTTATGATGTCCTTACTTTTCATGTCCCTAGTTTCTTCTTGTATTTATTGGCTTAGTGCATTTTCTCTTCTGTAAAATGCCTATTTGTATCTTCTGCTCATTTTCATTTTACATTTTAATCTATACATGTATATCTTTAGCAATATGACATTTAATTGTGGTTAAGGTGTATATTAACTTACATTTTTGACAAATGGATAGCATGTTTTTCCAACAACTACTGTATTTTGAAATGTTCCTCAAGAAAGCTTATAGTTTTTGCCATATGCTTCTTTCACAATCTTCCTAAGTTTGTAATAAAGACCTTAGATTATCCTGATGGCAAGTAATTATTTGTCTTTTTTAATGGGGTTTTCTTAGCAGCACACACATAACCATGGAGCCTTGTCTGGGTAGCTGCCTTAAACACAGTTCTGTTGGAAAGCCTTGCTAATCCAGGTGAAGACATTTGACCTGCTGTGCAACAGGCCCACAACAGCCAGCATAAATGTTTCAGCTTTGCAGACCTGGCACATATCAGGGGCTCAGTCAATGCTTATCAGTTAATATGAGATGAATAATTTGGCTAATTATTTCACTAATCTTACTCAATTGCATACCTTTCTTTCTATGAGCTCAGTTAGGCAGACAAAACATTGAGCCCTTCTTTCCACACGCTCTTTAAATAGCACATCACCAAGTTAATTTTCTCCTTGGAAAAGAGACCTTCACATAAGAAAACAGATGTAATACTCACATATGTATTTGCGTAATATTGAACAGAATTTCTATTTAGAAATAGTTTCTAGTTTGGCTTTGACAGAAAAGTATCAACCTTTGGATGTTATGGTCCTCATTACCAGTCAAGAAAGCCACAAAAAATGCTCTAAAGGCCATGAAAATGCTTGGTACCCTAGTGCTGATCAGCACTTTTGAGAGAATCAGCAGACCCAGGGAGTTGGTAATGGGTACTAACGAGATTTGTACCCTGAAATCCATACTGCAGAAGGCATTGGAATCTCCAGAAAGCCACATCTGTGTGCTCTTCGCCAGACCCCAGCAAGAAGCCTGAATACAGCATGTCATTATGATTAATTGTGGGTAATGAGGGTCTTATGAACCCAAGAAAGAGAATCGGTTGTTTCTCTACTGCTAGTTATAGGCCCCGATTTGTTTTCAAGCACTCTACAGAGGACAGCCAAGATAGAATAGGACTATTCTATAGCCATCCTTTGCTCTCCTGCCAAAAATTTTAGTAAATTAACACACACGGGTCCGTTAGGGACTTTGTGAGCTCTTTCAAGGATGTGATAAAAGGTGTCCTGGTTTGAAGAATCTTTATAAAATCAGGCTGTAGAAAATCTTCTGTGAATTCTTAAAAAAGCTCATTGGAGCTCTGAGTTCACATACAAATAGTACAATGTTCATAGGTGCAGGGTGCATAAAAGAAGTATTTCATGGAAGCATGGGTGTTCCAGTCATTCTCTAACCTACCAGAAGGTGGTGCAAATTCACCATCGATATAGTAAAGAAGGATGTGGTTTTCTTTTTCTGGAGCGGAGCTCTGCAAGTACAGTAACACCGGGAGGTTCGGGGGTGGGTGGGTGGAGGGAGAATGCTCCCGTATTTAAAAATAATTTAAGCAGACTGAAGATTTCATCCATAAGAAAACAAATAACTCCCCTTCATGTCGTATAACATCTGTCAACTTGTTTCTTGCCAGATTCAGTTGATGTGGGTCAAACTTACAAACAAAACAAAACGAACACGGGATAAAGATTTGAGGAAGATAATTTTTGATATCTCAATATAACAAAATTAACAAGATGGGATTTGTAATGGCTTCAGAAAAACACTATATTAATGAAATTACCTTGTTGGACATTGTAACAAACAGCAAAGAGGTGATTAATGGGGCATATATTTCTTTCACTTTAAAAATATTCATTATTGTATTTTAATGTTTGGACATTTAAAAATATTTTTAAGATGAAGGATTGTGACTGCCCTTTTGTGTGGCAGCTTGTGCTTTTTGAAAATAAAAATTACACCTTCCCCCAGGAAGATATTATAGGCTCAGAAGACCCAACAAGAATGTTTTAAAACAAACACAAACAAAAAAGAAAGCAAAAACCTATCAGCAGCAGCAAAAATAACAAAACCTTTTTCATTCTGCATGAGGGGAGAGTCTGGAAGCAAGCCCTGACTTACATCAACTTATCAGATATGTCTGATGGTGCCCACTTTTCCAGGAGTCCAGAGCATGTTTAGAGATGTGACATCCACCTGGATGGGAGAAAATTAAAAAAAAAAATTGTTTATGAATCCAGTAAAATATCAAGTGGGCCACTTTTATAAAATCCTTTCCTAAATCCTCCCTGTTTCCATCTGAAATCATTCGGTTTAAACAGAGAAGTGATTTTGAATACAACCAAAACAAAGCAAACAAAACAGAAAAACCCAAATCTTTGTATATAGAAAACAAAGAACCAAAAGAAAGGTTGAACATTTTCAAATTAGAATTTTCAAAGACAACGCACCCAGAAAGTGACCTCAGAGTTCTGAGTACTGATTTTTCAGCTCGAAATCGAGCATAGTTTTAGCAAATGTTACCACGGGGAACGATGTACTTTTTTCCTAACTATAATCTATCTTTTAAAAAATTAATTTGCTCTCCGTATTGCCGGATTACATTTTCATTTAACTTTGGGGCCGTGCCTTGTAATTAGTTTTTCCTGATCTGTTTCTTGCAAGGGGTAGGGAAGAAGTGAAAAAAAAAAAAAAGAAAAAAAGAAAAGAAAAAAGATTAAAAAACAAGCTTGTAGGCTGCAGTTAAAATATTTTCCTTTATCACGCCTGGCAGGAAAAGAACCAACAACATTGAACCCAGGGCGGCGGCGGGTCACACACACATCCCTCTCTCCGGATTCCCAAACCCAAACGTCTCTTCTTAAAGTCTTCGCGGCTTATTTGGGTTCGAGAGTCGCTAGTTATTTATTTGGAAGAGAGACGGGGTCTTGGAAGGGAAGCTGAGGGGCGTTTACGAGGACGACGGTCGGTTTTATTGAACAACTTTCTCTCGGGCGTTCGCCTGGGCCGGAGGCGCCGACACCCCTTCCCCAGCTCACCTGGAAGGTCCCCCTCCGGGCACCCGCTTAGTCCGGCGTTCCTTTCAAAGCCTCCTGTCGGCAGAGAGACCCACAATGAAATAAATTCTCATTTTCTGACGTCTTTGCCCCCGTAGGAGTCCAGACAATGTTTGGGGGGCTCGGCACGCATGAAGATAAAAGAGTTTTATTTTAAATGCGATACTTGTCAGGATTAGACAGCGTTTCCTTTCAGCTAAACTACAGAGCGGATCTTCATTTCCTATTTCACTGCTTCCCCCCACAGAAACTTTTCTTTCTTTTCTCTTTTTCTTTTCTCTCCCTCTTGCCCCCCTCCCCCCGGAGTCGGGGAGAAAAGCCTTCGCACAAAGCTTTCCCCTGCAACCCCGGAAATCACATTTAACTCCTAATCGGTGTAACTTATCAGGGGGACGCGGGGCCTGGGCGGCCGCGCCGCGCCGACTTTCCCGGGCGAGGCGGCGGCCGGGCCGCGGCCGGAGGGAGCGCCCGGGCGGCCGGGCGAGGTGCCGGCCGGGGGGAGGCGGCCGCGCGGGGCCGGGGGCTGCGGCCGGACCTGCGCGGGGCCGGGGGGGGGGGGTGGTCCCGGCGTCTCCGCGCAGCCTCTAGACGGGGACGGGGCCGCGGCAGCTGTCTCCGGCTCTGGGACCCGCGGTTTCGCTTTCGCCGCACAGTCGCCCCCGAGGGTGCCAGCGACTCGGCGCGGGCACGGCCTCCGTCCGCCGGGTCTCGGGGCCGCCCGGCCCGGCGCCCGGCGCCTGGCGGGGGGCCCGGCCTTGCCCTGCCCCCACCTGGCCGCGTCTCTTTTTTGCCGCGCAGACCGCGGTGAAAAGCAGCACAAACAGCGCTTTGCACTTTTCCGCCACTTTAGTGGGAATCGGAGGAGCCGGGAGAGAAACGAGAAAAGAGAGGCGGTTATTTATGGCCGGCGAGTTGAAATCTAGCACCATATGGTCGGATTCCTCCGACCTGGCCGCCTCCAGCCCCGGCTGCCCCCGCCCTCCCGGCTCCCCGCGACGTCGGGCCCACCGTGCCCTGCCGACCACGTCGCCAGCCCGGCCTGCGGGCTGGGAACGCCTCAGCGGCTCCTTCACTTGCTTCCAGGCCTCTCACTTTTTTTTTTTTTCCTACAGAAGTTGATATGAGCCAGGCTTTAAAAAAAAACATGGTGTCACTTGTAATTAAACAAAAAGTCATTAGTGATCTTTGAGCATCAGTGACACTCTCCCTTTTCTGGGAGGTCACCAGGGCTGGGGAGCCTTGGGCCAGGTGCACGGTGGTGTAGGGTTAAGCAGCGTCAGACCTTGAGAAGGGTCTCACTTCCTCTTCGTTTTGTCGCCCTTTGTGCTACATACGGGGGCAAGCAAGGTCTGCCAATCACTCCCATTTCTCTTTCTTGTTCTATAAAAACAGGGTCGTCACAGCAACAGGGACATGACAGGCTGGTATCTCTCTCGAGCTCCAGGGGGCCGCTAATAGGATTGAAGCAAAAGATCAAGCGAATGGTTTCCTATTTTAGGCCCCTAATAACTCCACACTGCTTGCATATACATGGCCTTACAGTATTAGGAGGCAACTTTTAATCCCAGGAAAGAGTAGCCTGTTTTCTAGCAGAGCCTATTTTAGAAAACCCAGTGGGATCCACCCTCCCTCATCATCCTCCAAATCCTCATCTGTCCATCTTCCCTCTTATTTGAGAAGAGGAAAGGAAAGCTCCCTTCCTTCCTGACTTCACTCACTGCCCCTTCCCCGAAGCTGAAGGTGTAATTTCCTTTCATTAATTTATTTTACCAGCTCAAAGTAAATACTCCTTTTAAAGGGAACAAAGACACTCCTTTTTGGTATTCAGTCAAAGTCCTTGGTGAGATCAGAAGTTTGCACATCTCTTGTAGAAATCAGCCTTTCTACATGTGATTTAGTCAGACAACCTCACCCTTCACTCCTCCAAACACACCTACAAAAACACAAAACAACCTAATCTAAGGAGGAATGAAGATTTCTCTCCCTCAAGCCATTAATGTTCAAAATGCAACCTGAAGTCACATAGGCCTGTGGCCTGGCTTACATGTGGTTGGTGAGTGTCCCTTATCTGTGTGCTTGTGGAATAGATGGAGGAAGCAAATGAAATGCTTTGGACAAGGGGGCGGTTTGTTGTCATCCTCAAGACCTGAGGAAACCCGTCAAACGAGACTGACTTCAAAAAACCAAGACTGCCTGGGAAATCTGAATGCAAACAGCCCTGAAATAATCAGTGCCACCAACATCTGTCACCACAGCTGTTTCCTTTCTGGTTGGTGAGAGAACTTGTCTCTTTCTCGTGGGCTGGCAGTGACCTCCAAGCAACGAATACAGGGTCTTTTTCTTCCAAACAGAATTCTTCAGGTCTCTGTGTACTTAGCCGGCTTAAAAATAAAACAGAAAACAAAACAAGCATGACATTGCCACCCTTAGGTGAAAATAAGCAGCCTGGCAACATAGGTTAGGAAGCAGCGTTTTTGTGATGTGGTCACAGATAGGGAAACTGAGGCATACAAGTAGCCAGTGAACTTTCAAATTAATATCCGGAGAAGAATCAGAATTGATTAACTCGATCTGCAGCCTACTGGATTCTGCTGGGTGTTTTAGAAGGCACTGGGTTAAAAAAAAGAGGTGAGTTTTTATTGTTTTCTCTTTTTATTCAACCAAAAGATAATTAGTGAGCACCTGAAATGTGGAAGAGAAATGCTTTGTGTTGTGGAAAAATAAAAAATAAAATGTCTCTGCCCCAAGGGACTGTGCCTTCTGGGAGGGACTCTAAGACAGGCAAGGGTATGGATACAATAAGATGGTGGCTCAGTCTGAGGTTATGGGAGGAAGTCTGACAAGGGAACATGGAATGACTGTTGGAGTAACTAGCAGACTTCAAAGAAGAAGTAGCCTTGGAGTTGCTGGGACTTGGGACTTGATGGCTGACTGAGACTGTGATCAGTAGAATAGGAGACAACACTGAAAATGCAGACAACAGCATGCATTTATCATCACAAGTAAACAGTGAATTTACTTTTCTGGGAGTGAAGGGAGATTAAGGAAGGAGTGAAAGAAGAGAGCTACTGCTATGCTATAAGGCTTTTAGACTTTAGCCTGTGGACAAGGGGAGCCCTGAAGTGACAATTCAAGGGGACATTTGCAGAGAGTGAACCTAGGGCTGATGCCCAGGCAGGTTTGGGGTTAGGGAGAAGGTATGCACTCTGAGATCCCAGTGTGGGGGCTATGGTAGGCATGAGGTATGAGGGCTGCTGCAGACCAGTGGCATAGGGATGGCAAGAAAAAAATGATTGTACCAGAACTGGCTGGACTTAGGGCTTAGGCAGAGAAGCTGTTTAAAGTGACTGGGCCTTCAAGCCTGTGTGTCTAGGGAAAATAGGAAACTTCATCATGTGCAAAGAATTAAAATAACACTTAAATCCAGCATTACATGTAGAGTGTTTAAAACATTGGGTGCTTCATGAAAACAGAGAAACTCAGATATGAACATTGATTAGCTTTTGCCAACGTTGAAGAGTTTTCTTTGTCAAAGCCAGACAATTGGGCTCCTGTCTGAGCCTCAACCAGACTTAAAGCCAGGATCTCAGAACACAGTGTCTGTGTGGGGTGGACAGGGAAGCAGCCTGTAGAGAGCATATTTTCCCCAAGACACATTATTCTTCCTTAGTACTGATTTCAATTTTTTATTCCATTATTGAGAAAGAAAGTTAGAGAAAGATATATAAGAGGCATTTTTTCTTCGACTCCCAGGCATGAGAAAATGTTCAGGTGTTAAAATCAATATGGCATCTGTTTACTTATATTTCAGTTGCATACAATGTTTTGCTTGAGAATTTCCACAGGGAAGACACCAAATCATTATACAGCCAATGCAGGCCAAGAGGATACAAAACAGTGAAAAAGCATTAGACTGGACATTTAGATCGAGTTTTCTTTCTCATTATGCCAACCACGTTGTGTGACCCACCCACGTGGTAGCACTCTTTACTCCTGGTTTCCCCACATGAAAAATGTGGTGGATTGGATGATCTCAAAGGTTCTTTCCAGATCCAGACTATTGGATCATTAATGTAACTCTTCCTTTGAATTTTCCCAACAATTTCTTCCTTATATTCTGTGTTCTGTTTTGCATGTTCAAACAGAAAGGGTATTTATGTCAGATTATTCAGACTTTATTCTGAATTTTAATAACTTATTTGCACTGAACTTTATATATATTTTAAAAGCATTATACCATCATTCTCACTTGATCTACAAAACTGTTACATAAAGTGAATAAGCCAGAGATTTGATCCCCAAATGTACAGCCAATAATAATCATTTGTTTTTATGAGTGCCTCCACATGCCTTCCATTAAATTTCTCATTTAATCACCATAATACCTTGTAGGTATTGCTTTACTGATCAGAAAGCTGAGACTTACAGGAGTTGGGACTCAATGAATGCTTCCACTCATGATGGCTGAGTCAGGATTGGAGTCCAGGTCTGTGAGCTTCAAGCTCTCTAAGGCCTGGGGAAGTTGTACAAAGGCTGTGAACTGTGTCCCTCCCCTGCATAATATCTTTTGTATGGCTTTGCTGTCTTTGACTTCCCGTGGTCTTTGTGGCATTCCGTGATCTTCCCATGTGAAATATAAGGGCCAAAATTTAAAATAGGCAAGCTTCTGACAAATATTTATCAAGCACCAATATGTGGCTTCAGGATTCTGAAGAAATCTTAAAAATGTCTTATTCCATGAGAATTTTACAATCTGAGATGAACAAAGCACTGAGCCAGTGAAACATCAGTGAGCAGACAGTGTTCTATACCATAATGAAACCATCACCTTTAGGGGATGCTCACTCTCTTTCCACTGCATCCTGGAATACAGGTTGAATTCTCATGATAAGCTTATGTGGTGGGCACACTCTACACCTCTTTTGGGCAAAAAGATGTTGATCTGCAGAGTGTTTTAGTCACTGCCTAGAGGTCCCATGGCTAGAAGCGGTAAAGCCGGGAATTTTAAACAGGACCTCTGACAACAAAGCCCACCACATCCTT